AACCTAACTCCACAAACAAACTAAACTCCAAATTCTAATCTCCACTTTAAAATATGATCCTCCAATAATCATTCTCCAGTTTGCAAACTTTCGATTGAATTTATTCCCGTTTCGAAATAACGTGTCCGTAAAAGTCTCCGTCCAGTAACCACGTTTCAGATAGAAAGCCAAAAAGAAAATAAAGCAAAAGAAGTTACTGTTCCGTCGCGAAGGTTGGACCCGTGACACGTCTGTTTCTTTCCGTCTGGCCGAATCGTTTCTCGCATGGCGTGTAACATATTCAATGGGAAAACTTTTCATCTCGTCGACAAAGGACGCCACACCTAAGGGACCATCGTCTATTTCCATTCGCTGTTGATTTCTCTTCCCGTTAGAAACACAGAAATCAAGATGCATTTTCCATTCGACAGGCTGGCCACGCGTTCTGCAATTTTATATTCAATCCCCGTCTGCGACGCTAACTTCCGGCAATAACGGGAGGACCCTTTCAACTTTCTTTGATCGTGTTTGATTCGACCCTTTTACGTTCCGACCAATTCATTTTTAATATCCCGCGTTTAACCCGGTATTTATTCCATCTAAGAAATTCTATTAAAAAAATTCTTGGGTCATAAACCACTTGATAAATAATAAAATTAAAGAAGAATACCTTCATTGTAACATCAATGATAAGTAAATTGCGTTACCGACAGAGTCGTCCGATCGGTAAAAAATGGCGTCTAATAAGACTCCGTAAGTAAAACCTTATAAATTGATTTTCGTGAAAATTCGTAAACCTATGGGTGTTAATGCATGAAAAATATATTCTTGCCACGCTAAATTTGATTTAAATAATAATTTGGAGAGGTAACGCATTGATATTAAAGTTAGAGGAGGAATTTATTTCGTGAGGCGATGAATTAGTGGCCGATCAAGACCAACTTCCTTAACGTTTTATAGCACTTGAATGTTTTATTCTCCTCGTTGTTCTTCGCTTCTTCCACTCATTATCCTCCCGTTTCTTGTATCCCGTTTTGCCGCTATCTCTCTCGTCGCCGGTTTTTTCGCCGACGCCAGAAATATTGCGCTCTTGATGCTGGATGTACCGAGGGCCCGGGAACTTCGTTTTTAGAATTAATGGAGACCTTTTTTCCGGGGGCCCCGTTAAAAATTGCCCGACGCGGCGACTCCCGGAAAGTTTCGGAAGTTCGGGAAAAGGTCGAAACTGGGACGACGGGATTATTTGATTTTCGAGATGAGTTTCCTGCACGAGCTGTGCATTAGCGAATGAAAATGCTCATACTTTTTGGAATATAAAGTTCGTAAGATGTGCAGAGGATCGTCCTGTTACTCCATTATGGCCGCCATTATAAGCGTTCGCTTTCTCAGCGAAATATCGAGGCAAGTTTCTCGATTGCAGGATCAATAAGTCTTCGACAAGGAACTGCGAGGACGAGTATTTTATGAAAAATCGCGTAGCAGGATTTGAAGACTTATTGATTAAGTTTTCAAAGCGTTCTCGCTATATGGCACTCACGTCGGTCTTCCTTTAGGAACGAAGTCCCGTATTTCTTAATTGGCAGAGCGAATAGAAAAGATGAAAGGTGAGTGATCCGTGAAATTAGTCGAATTTGTTATCTTGAATTTGATGCCGTTAATTAATGCACCCCTGACGCTCATTACGCGCATACAAATCGCGTCGTTGAAAGGGGCAGAAAGCTGTGAATAATTCGTGCTGCGCGATATATCTTCGAATGCACTCGTTCTAACGACATGATAAATTCCCCGTCCCTAAAGGAACTTATACATCTTTTGTATCGTCTTTTTTGCCAGGGGGAGCCCGGCATTGCGCAACATTCGTACTTATTATAGCCGGTTCAACGATCCCGGTGGCGAGAGAAAATATTAGCGGTTCCTCGGGATACGACTGAAACCTGCTGCGATCACCAGACCGTTTTACTTTAACGAATTTACTGGCCGTTTCAGTTAACGTGAATATTATCCCCTTTGTTAGTGCAATTTTCCTAGCGATCAGCTGATTGCTGATTATACGCCAATTTCTACCTGTTACCCGATCGAACTGTGCTGACTGATGCGTTCATTAAGTCACGAAATTCTGTTAGGTTACTTTACTCGCTTTCAACTGGCGAACCGGGGGAAATAGGTTAGGAACACTTCTTGTTTAGTGTAATTGTTATTTGTATACATAATTGTAGTCGTACATTTTTGTACGTTCTTATGAACGGAGAGCAAGATTTTATAAAATGGCGCTGGCAGACATTTTTATTTCTGCTGCTTGATTATTCAAAATACCTAACATAGGTCAACGAAGTTTTTATTAACAAAATGATAAAAAATATTACATCTAACAGTCAAGTTAACTAATGCATTTAACAATAAAATTATTAAGGTAAACTCAACAATGTATTAAGTATACTAACCTAACCTAACCTAACAATGAAATGATTAAAAATACCCGACGTTATACCTTAACCTAACCTAACCTAATAATTAAATGATTAAAAATAACCTATGTTATACCCTAACTTAACCTAACCTAACAACGAAATGATTAAGAATACCGTATGTTGTACTCTAACCTAACCTAACATTATATTTAAATGATTAAAAATAATCTATGTTATACCCTAACTTAACCTAACCTAACAACGAAATGATTAAAAATACCGTATGTTGTACTCTAACCTAACCTAACCTAACAATTAAATGATTAAAAATACCCTATGTTACACCCTAACTTAACCTAACCTAACAACGAAGTGATTAAAAATACCGTATGTTGTACTCTAACCTAACCTAACCTAATAATTAAATGATTAAAAATACCCTATGTTACACCCTAACTTAACCTAACCTAATAATGAAATGATTAAAAATACCCTGTGGTATACCCTAACATAACCTAACCTAATAATTGAATGATTAAAAATACCCTATGTTGTACCCTAATTTAACCTAACCTAACAACGAAATGATTAAAAATACCTTATGTTGTGCCCTAACCTAACCTAACAATAAAATTATTAAGAACACTAAGTCTAACAATGAAATGATTAAAAATACACTATGTTATGGTTTAGAAATCCAAATTTGTCAACTTGTCATAAGTCTAAATATAAAATTGTCGAGTTCACAAGCGTAAATTCTCAGCGCTTCTCAGGCCATATAACATAATAAAAGTAAATATCCCTCAACCGAAACATAAAAGCAGTCGTAATATAAATCTAAGTATAAATTTTGGTAGTAGTCTGCCTTAAAGCGACCTCCATGTTCGGCGATAGCTCGTCCATCTACGGCAATATACGAGTGGCACCGAACGGTACTCGGCATTGCGAATGCATATGAAAAAGATCGATCGAACAACGGCAACGTTCTGTTTCGGCAACGTATCGAAAAGCAATTTGTACACAGAACTCTGCCGGAGTACTTTAAAATATTGCTCCTGTTTACACTTGTTCTGACGGGATGGCGGCATTTCTCTCGGAAATCGGAAGTTCACGGCACGCACCGGTCGTATTCGAAACGCGAAAACGAAGATCGAACTTTATCAATTAAAGCCGATACGCTCGTTCCGAAGAACTTGCCAACTTTATATGATACGGAGAAACTGAGAAATAAAGTTTCTAATGGAAAATAACTTCAGCTGTTATGACTTTAAATCTTCTATAGTTAACTTCTGTTAAGTACAGCTTTTACGAACGTTGTTCTTTTTTTATTATTTTGTGTTATAAAATCTTATGACTGTTTAAGTACAACAGTTAATGTATTATAGTGTAGCAGTTTTAGTGTATTATTTCTTAAAGTAATGCTTTAGTAAGCTTCAAGCGATGCGTAAGTCTTCGGCCATTTTGAGTCTTCGGCCATTTTGAAGCTCCGGGCGGGAAAATTCAAATCTGTTTGTGTGACAATTTTTGTTTTAGTATTCTTTTCGAATTTTTTCAATAAAGTATCAAGACAAATATTCTTAATATGAAATACTGAAGTTAAATTTCTTATATTATTATTAATTTTACTTTATTTATTGTAATATATAAATAAATTATTGTTTCAGTTTGTGTTTGATGAAAGTATAGGTTAAATGGTGATTCGTAAATGAATATATTTGCTTTAAAATTTAAAAATTCCATAATCTTAGAATTCCAAGATGTCAAAGTTCCACAAATTCCCAAAAGGAAATAAAGCAATACTGTGGCTTTCAGGTGTTTTTCGCAAACCACTATTCGAACTTGTGTGCAGTTTAGGTTAGTTGTACATGTTCCTAATTTTGGGAAAGCTGTTCCCGCAAGTACTAAAACCCATTACCGATTCGATACACTCGGATTCAGCGTATCGGATACGACTTTGTATCTCTGATACAATAGCGCTGAATCTAATTTGAATCTCGAACTTTGTGGAGAAATTAAATATTTTAAATTAAATATTTTAGTAAAATTAATTTGTTGCAATTTCAATTGTTTGAATGGAATTAGTATGGCATGAAAATAATATGAAATTAATAATAAACTAATTATTTATTTTATTAATCAGGAAATTAAAGATGAGTCAGCCGTCAATTATAAAAGTTTCCAAATTTTCTAACAAGCACAATATTAATTTTCTTCAATTTCGTCGAACAAATATTTACAACTTTAACTCTCAAAAGTTCATGCAATTTTTTTTCAATAAATACGCCGTATATTTGTAGCCTTCTCAGAAAAAATTCCGCATTTTCCTCCGAACTCCCAGGAAGTGAAATAATTTCCCGAGTAAATTCATCCGAGCAGAATATATCAAAGAATAAAAATTGTTATTATTAAAACAACCAATGAATCCACGTGGTTCCGTATTAACTGAAGCAAAAAGTGGAATATTTCGCGGACGGAAGCAGCTCGAGTTACTTTACGTTTAAAAGAATTTTCTCGCGTGCCACCCTCGTGTACGGCGAAGCGAAATGCGACAAGAACGTCGTTGGCACTTCTGAAGTTCATTTTTTCTTTCTTTCTTTTTTTTCATAATTCCAGGTGCGAAGGCGTGGACTCGTTAGTGGCGTACGTGCACATAGACAGGAAAAAGGAGAAAATAGATTCTTTCTGCGGCGAGAAGCCGTCACGGCCTATCATGAGTAACGGACCACGGCTTTCCTTGGAATTTCACGGCATCACGTCGTCTCGCCACTCCAGAGGTTTCAAGGCGGTGTACTCTTTCACTGAAAGTGAGTAGATCCTCTTTCTCTTGTATTCAACGTCTTCTTTAGTAATCTTACGATTATCGAGTCAATTATCTTTATGGCGAATGGGGAGTTAGACAAGATGGTCGATCGAATTCGACGGAAATGGAATCATTTCGTTTTCTATTATATTTGGTGCTTTCTTTGTTAAATTTATAGGATTCTATTTTTTCTTATAGATTGTTAGTTTGTTAATTTTATAGAATTTCACTTTTTCTTATAGATAGCGTTAGTTTGTTAATTTAACAAAATTCCACTTTTTCTTACAGCTAGCATTAGTTTGTTAATTTTACAAAATTCCCATTTTTCTTACAGCTAGCGTTAGTTTATTAATTTAACAAAATTCCACTCTTTCTTATAGCTAGTGTTAGTTTGTTAATTTTACAAAATTCCACTTTTTCTTATAGCTAACGTTAGTTTGTTAATTTTATGATGATCGAGTCAATTGTGCTTACGTCAGCTACCGCCAGCTCGAACAAACATGGCGGACGTTCGAATTATCGAACGAAAATATAAATCATTTCATTAGCCATTATATTCAACATCTTATTTGTTAAACTTGCTATTCGTACAATTCTTACAATTCTTATAACTCTACTTTTCGTTATATTCAACGTCTTCATTAATTTTATGATTACCGAGTCAATTGCGCTTACGTCAGCTACCGCCATCTTGAACAAACATGGCGGACGTTCGAACTATCGAATGAAAATATAAATCAATTCATTAGCCATTATATTCAACATCTTCTTTGTTAAACTTGCAATTTGTACAGTTCTTACAATTATTATAACTCTACTTTTCCTTATATTCAACGTCTTCATTAATTTTATGATTATCGAGTCAATTGTGCTCACGTCAGCTACCGCCAGCTCGAACAAACATGGCGGACGATCGAATTATCGAACGAAAATAGAGTCATTACATTTTCCTCTTATATTTAATGTCTTCTTTAATTAAACTTAGGAATCTACAATTCTACATTTCCTTATATTCAAGGTTTTTATTAATTGTATAATTATCAAATTAATTGTATTACGACAGCCACCGTCAGTTTAAATATGACGGATCATGAAATTATCAAACGAAAGCCATCAAACCATTTCATTCAAACTATTACATAACAAAATTTCACAACAAATGTTTCATCTGCACTCTATATTTAATACAGCAGTTTCTCGTAATAATTCCATAAGAAATAATAACGATAATAATAATTGTACTTCATTTCACTGCTTCAGACTTCTACCACTACGAAACCAAAGATTTGAAATTTATCTAACCATACCGGAAATATTCGAAGGAATAATTTTAGTGAAATCGTTTCACGTTCCGATTGCTGTCCCTATCAGAAATTTTAATCGAGTTGCGCAATTACGATTTACACTCAGCTAGAAAATTGCGAAATTTAATGTTTTCATTTTGTGTAACAGAGTTCGTTCAATAATGAGTTTCCGCGTACGATTGCGCGTAATTATACAAGTTACGGGGTTTGTATAGAGGAACGAAAAGATGCTGCAAATGATGTACCAGAATATATGAATATTTTAATGATCGTTGCGTAATTAACGCGGCAATTCTGTAATTCGTATTTTCCCTCGTCGCATAATTTTTACTAACCGCCTTTTTTGCAATCTCCGAAATTAAACTTTTTATCTGTACATACGAGCGTTTCATAACGGCAGATTACACAGTGTGTTTGCAAAAGTAACATAACTTTTCAAATTTATGGAAAACTAGCGCCATGTATTATTAAAACATGTTATTTGAAAATAGTATAGCTCCCCAAAAAAATACAACAATCATTATTGGAATCGAGCAATGGATTGTAAACTTATAACGTGTAATGAACAAAACGAACCTTTTGTCACTGTGTCACAAAATGTGGTAGTTTGACGTATGGTAGTTCAACGAGTGGTAGTTCAACGCGTGGTAATTCGATGCGTAGTAATTCAACGCATGGTAATTCGACGCGTTATAATTCCACGCGTAATAATTCCACGCGTGATAATTCGACGCGTAGTAATTCCACGCGTGGTAATTCCACGCATAATAATTCCACGCGTGGTAGTTCGACGCGTAGTAATTCCACGCGTAGTAATTCCACGCGTGATAATTCGACGCGTAGTAATTCCACGCGTGGTAATTCCACGAGTAGTAATTCGACGCGTGGTAATTCCACGCGTAGTAATTCCACGCGTGGTAATTCGACGCGTGGTACTCTCAGCGTATGGTAATTCGATCTATAGTAATTCGACGTGTGGTAATTCGATACGTGGCTGTCTCAGCGCATGGTAATTCGATGCGTGGCTGTCTCAGCGCATGGTAATTCGATGCGTGGTAGTCTCAGCGCGTGGTAATTAGATCCATAGTAATTCGACGCGTGGAAATTCGATACGTAGGAATTCGGAGCGTGGGAATTCGATGCGCTAAGATTCGATGCGTGGTAATTCGATGCGTGGTAATTCGACACGTGGCAATTCGACACGTAGAAAATCAACGCTTAAGAATTCAATGCATAATAGTTTTATGACACTGTTACACAAGTCCAAGCAGCTGTGACAAGGTTTGAAACGATTCCGCAAAACGACATAAAAAAATCTATGTTAACGTTGTGTGAATCCCAGTGGTGAATCCCATATTGATGCGAATCTATTTTGAATAAAAAAATTAATTTTGACAAAGTAACTAATTCTTTTCCTTTTATTTAAGGAGTACCGATATTTTTACGACGAACTGTGTATATCAGAAAGAAGAATTTCATAATACTTTTTAGAAACGGAACTCGGCGATTCGATATTTTCTTCCTGTTTGTTCTTTCTATTTTCGTCGCTTTCTATTTCTTTTCCCTGTTTACTTTCCAAACTTTTTCTCGTCCGTTTTTCTCTTGTCCTTTCGTCTTCGATTTCATTATCCTTTCTGTTTTCACTTCATCTTTTTCTTCTTTTATCGTTCTTTAATTTCTGTCTTGTTTCGTTTTACACTTTCGTGCTTTCTTATGTAACATAATCCTCTGGCCACTTCTTGCCATGTTTTCTCGTTATTCATTTCTGTCACCTTCCCTCTCATTTTTCTCCATTTTTATGTCACCTTCTTTCACACCTGTTTCTTGTGCAGACTATTTTTCAACTTCGCGTTTTTCTGTGCTGTACCGCAATAATATCCTTAAGAGCTCATTCGCTTGAAAATTTCGCTTTGAATTTTATTTTCTTCTTGGGGAAGGGAAGTTTTTTGGGGTGCGAAATTTATAGTGGAGAAATTTAAAAGGGATTCTTATATTTAGGGGTATGAATTTTGTATTCAACTATTTTTGAATTTCGGAATTTGAGAATTTTGTTTTGACAAATTTTCAAATTTGGGGATTGTTGGATTGTAGAATTTGTAGAGTTTTAGATTCGTAGATTTTTAGATTTTTAAATTTTAAAGGGTTTGGATCTTTAGAGATTTAAATTTTTAGAGTTTTGAATTTTTAAATTTCTAGATTTCTAGAGGACTGGATTCTTAGATTTGTAGATTTGCAAATTTGTAAATTTCTAGATTTCTAGATTTGTACATGTCTATTTCCATACATATTTAGATTTCCATCTTTGTACATGTCTAACTTCACAAACTTCAGAACTTCTGAATGTTCAAATCCGTCAATAGCAAAACTCCCAAATTTCCACCTAAAAATTCTTCGACAAACTCCTCACTCTACCAACATATCTCTTGTATCTCCATTTCCGTTTATCCTCCGGCTCTCAGTTCCTCGACCTAAACACAGTAATCTTCGAATCCCCTCTTCCAAACAGGAAGAAACTTTTGGTATCAAAATGTTTCCGCATTCGAGCAGAATGTTCGCAACGGACTAAACTTGCAACCGGTATCTTAATCCCAACAATTTCTACTTTCCTTTTAAATTCGATTGTGTACGTTAATTTCTTTTGCACCAAAAACAAACTATCCTTATAAAATAGAATTTCCTTATAAAGAACAATAAAAATATAATATTCATACGGGACTTTGAATTTAACAGAACTTTGCTTGGTAAACTTTAAAGGCTTCACGAAGCAAGACAAAATTTTATTCAACCAAATTCATTATATGAAGATTTAATACATTTTTCTGAAATAAAATTGAGAATCTACAAAAAATTTTAATTTTAAAAATACAATTCTTTGTCAATTCTTAAAAATACAATTCTGTATCAATTTTAACAATAAAAAATGCAGTAGTTATTTAATTAATTTCTACGTTTGCGAACTGCTTTTAAAGTTCCACGAAACAGGATTATTTTTTTAAATAAAAAATCTGTTTTTATTTAACCCAATTCATTACGAAGATTTAATATCTTTTATTGAAATGAAATGCCCTAATAAAATGGAATTGTTCAATAACAAATATTGATTTTATATTCATTCGACTCCACTTTTTAATTAATATCAAATTGTGAACTGCTGTGAAAAATTCCATGATGCAGGCAAAAACATGTGTTTTTGTTTGACGAAATTCATGATGAAAATTTAATATCTGTTACTTAAAAGAAATTCCGTCATAATGTGCTGTTGTTCTCGTATTGATTTTACGCGTGGAGTATTCATATAGGAATAATTTTTAATTAAGATGTTTTTAAGGGTGTTTTAGAGGAAGAGTTTTTTAACACATATTCAAGTTCTCAAGGTTGTAATAGGTTTTTTATGTTTTTGGTTATTTCAATTTTCAAATTTCTAATAGGCAAATTTCTACTTTTATAAATATTCAAGCTTTGAAGGTTCTAGTAAGTAAATTTCTACTTTTCTGAATGTCCAAATTTTCAAATTTTCAATAGCACAAATTCCTACACTTCCAAATATCACAATTCTCACATTTCTACTCTTTCAAATTTTCAATAGCACAAATTTCTACACTTCCAAATATCACAATTTTCAAATTTCTACTCTTCCAAATTTTCATAAGCTAAAATTTCTACATTTCCAAACCTCCTTGAAATGGCAGGTAGCTAACGT